GTTTTGTTTTATTTTTTTTTGTTGATATGAGAGTTTTATTCATTAAATAAAAGTTGAAGTCTTTCAAATGTTAATTTTATTTCTAACAGTGATTCGCATAGGAGAACAATCCCAACTTTGTTAACAATATCAAAACTCAATCAAAGCTTAATACTAGGCCTAAACGGCTTATTAATATTAAAAATTCAAAACCCTAAAAATATCCTTAAACAATGAAAGGACATTATTAGTCCATGAGAAAGAATGTGCTTCCAGCGTTTACGAGGATCTCTATACCGTCACTGAAATGTTAACCACAAGGATCATGTTTCATGAGTCGTCATTACGGTGTCCAATGATTGAAGGGATTGTAGTCATTCACGAATATGAAGATGGTCCATTGGATGCGGATTATTGTTTCAAGGAGCCACATGGATTGTCTGTCACTATAAAATGTATAGCACATCAACTCTAGGAGTAAAGGACATCTCATATCATCCCGTCTACTGGATGAGATTTAAAACTATGATGTTTGAATCAAAGGAGATGAATTTCAGAAAGTGAATTTAATTCCAAACTCAGGACTACAATTAATTCACTCCTTATTTTTTTTAAGTTCATGGCCCTACGATGAGATTATAAATTTTCATCAACCAATTAGGAGATGGAGAAGATGATGATGATGAAAAATTAGGAGAGTAGTTCTCCGTTGTAGTGACCAATGCATAAGTTATAATCGTTTGGGTAATCATTTTCTGAAATCTTACTATGCCATATGCGGTAAAATGTGTGATGTTTCCCGATTAGGAAGATTCTTCGGAACCAAGAATTAGAGTGAGTGAAGTCGAATGAACATTAATGAAGATCATTGATCATCCGGTGGATATCAAATCAAGCAACAAGAAAACAAAAGTAGAATTCCTTACCATTAGTATTTACAATATACTAAGCTTACCTTGCACCTTAGAAGGCAATGCAAAATGATCAATCATGTCCAAAGAAGATGAACAATGATCATTCACTTCTTGTGTGAAACAAAGTTTTTTTTTAACGATTCCTCTACTCATCTTTAATGAAAGAAAAGTAATTAAGAGGACCAAAAAAAATTATTTTCCAAAATCTACATAGCTTTCTCCACGGTTTACATAGTGTTATGTACTTTTTATCTTTAGAAGCTTCTAAGCCAAGAGAAGACTACAACAAAGTATGTCCACTCTTAGATATTCTTTGCGATCATCAATTTCTTCTTCCAACAATTGAGAAGGGAAAAAAAATATAGAAACTAAAAATCCATCCAAAATTTTGCTCTAAAATGTAGAATTTGCTCTATATTAACAAATGGTCCTTTACACTGAAAAACTAAAATAGTCAGCCGATCGTCCCTAAAGTTTGGAATTCCGCATCAGTATTTACTATTTATTTAGCTTACATTGCATCGTAGAAGGTAAACTAAAGAAGGTTGGTTGGAATTTGTCCCGAAAGTGATGAAGAGGTGAAACTGTTGTAAGCAAGGTTCATCGGATCACGGAGAAGACGCGGTTTAAAAAGCAACTTTTGGACTCAGCCGCCATGGACGCAGCTGAAAGTAATTAAGGTCTAGCCCAATCACATCACTGGTCTTGGCATCACAAGTGATACCATTAGAAGTTACTTTCATTTCACCCATGATTCTGTTTAAACAAAAGTAGGCTTGTGAATCTCAAACTCATTCTTAAACTCATGAAAGCATCCTTTAGTCTGGATGACACAAGTGTTTTGTAGGAGAAACAATTTTTTTTTAGAAACGACGAAAAGGAAACAAATAGAACGAAGGAGAGCTCGTAATTTCCATTGTAAATTAATGTTATGGGTCATTAGTACATCTTATATAAACATAAAGCTCCATCCACTTGATAAAGGTAAGTATTAAAATCAGGTATTGTGGAACTTAAGTTAGTTCTTCTACTTCAGAAGGGACTCCACGTGGTCAGACAGCACAAATGCCTTGTTGGAGAAGCAAAAAAGGAAATTCATTTTCTTACTCAAGTATGGACTCCACTGTTGTTTATCTTTCCGCAGCTTCACAATGTCATATTGCAGTTCTATAGCTTTCTTGGATAAATATATACAAATATTGATATCAACCATTCAGCATCTTCTACATGAGGAAGATATCTAACCTAGATAAAAAAATCGGCAAGACTTGCAATCTACTATTATTGCCTTTGAGAAAGGTTGAACACTAAGAGCATGGACAGCGGAGTAACCGAGCATGGGGTGTGAGTATTTTAATAATGAGAAATAATACACTGCATTGTCTCTCTCTTCACACTCGAATCTTAACTAACACCTGAGTGTAAGCCTCTCCCTCTCTTTCTCTCTCTCTTTCTTTATCTCTCTCTTTTCTCTCTCTTTAAATTAAAATAATAAAAAAATATTTACACCCCACTAACACACACCCACCCAAGTTTACCATTGCTCATGGTCTAAGAGCATCTCCAACAGACCCTCAAACCTTCAAATTTGAAGGCTTTTTGAACTCCAACAGACCCTCAAACCCTCATTTTTTGAGGATGTGAATAGTGCACCCCCAAATTTGAGGGTGCACTATTCACACCCTCAAAATCTTTCTCATATTTCACTTTAGTCCTTCTATTTTACATATCTTACAACTAATTCAATTAATTTCAATTATTTTAGATATATCCATATAAATTCAAATACATTCAAATAAAAATATAAAAGAACTAATATTTAAAACAAATTTTATACAATAATAATATTACATTGAGCATGTTAACACAAATTTAAATTAACATTACAATAATAATTAAATACATAAACACACAAACAAATTAACACAAGAAAGAAAAAAAGTACATGAACACATAATAAATCAGTTTGTGTATTTTCTTGTCTAATTTTGTAGATATGTTGGATAAGATATCGATAGGATTTTAATCTAACGGTTGGTAAGTGGTGAAATCTAACGAATGGTGTCGATCAAATTTTAAAGATTTTCTTATCTTTTTCAATAGTAACATTTACATCTATAAAATACACATATGAATGGCGTAGACAAACATCACCACTTTCTTCTTTAATTGTTAAAAATGAATTTTAATATTGGAGGTCCATCTTTTTCTCAAAATTTGTCTTCTTCTTCAGACTCATCTGAGTTTGATGAATGGTTGATGAATGATATTGCGACAACTGAAAGAGAAGAAGAAATTGCTGTCAATTTGTTTGTCAACAATAACCGCTTTATTCACCAACTCACTCAAGAAGAAAATCACGTAAGTCATCGAGGCTCTATTCCCGGTCATGCGATTATACACCGTGACAGAGAAAATGCTCATCGTAATTTATTTAATGATTACTTCTCTGATAATCCTGTTTATGGTGAAAGAGAATTTCATCGTCGATTCCGAATATCACAAAGATTATTTTTACACATTGTTGATGCTGTTAAACAACACGACAACTACTTCAATCAACGACGCGATGCATCGGGTAGATTGGGCTTATTAACCTTACAAAAAGTAACTGCCGCTATTCGGATTTTGGCATATGGTATGCCAGCTGATGCCACAGACGAGTACATTAAAATTGGAGAGTCAACAGCAATTGAATGCATGAAGAGATTTTGTCGCGCAATTATAGCAGTGTTTTCGGAGTGGTATCTCAGGTCACCAACATCAGAGGACATTGCCAGGCTTCTCAGCATTGGTCAACAACGTGGATTTTCTGGAATGTTGGGTAGTCTTGATTGTATGCATTGGAAGTGGAAAAATTGTCCAACAGCATGGGCAGGACAATTTGCAGGTTCCTAGCGGATCACCGACGATCATTCTTGAAGCAGTTGCAGATTATGATCTATGGATATGGCATGCTTATTTTGGTATGCCAGGCACCAACAACGATATCAATGTTCTGAAGTCATCTAACTTATTCTCAAAGCTTGCTCAAGGTACTGCTCCACCAGCTAACTATATTATTCAAGGAAAAGAATATAACATGGGTTATTATTTAGCTGATGGTATTTATCCGAAATGGTCAACTATTGTTCAAAGTATAAGCGATCCCCAAGGTCCCAAAAAAAAATTGTTTGCAGCAAGACAAGAAGCATGCCGAAAAGATGTTGAACGTGCATTTGGAGTCTTACAATCGAAGTTTGCTATCATAGCAGGGTCATCACGTTATTGGAATAAAGAAGTATTACATGATATAATGACAGCTTGCATTATAATGCATAACATGATAATTGAAGATGAACGTGATATCAACGCACCGATTAGAGATTCAAGATCGACGCCATCGACAACAGTGGAAATGGCAGTTAATGAAAATACACGATTTCAACAATTTTTATCTCGTAATCTACAGATAAAAAATAAAGAGACTCATTTATCACTTCGAAATGCTCTAATTGATCATATATGGGAGCATTATGGAAATCTTTCTATTGAATAATTTTGTATTTTTACATGTAATTTTATAAATCTTTTTATGTTTTATTATATGTTTCTTTTCTAATTTAATTTTAATTTTGTATTATTATCTTAAATTTCGTTTTTTTAATGTTGTTTTACAGAATTGTTTTTATAATGTATGTTTTATACCTATTTATGAAACATTTATTACTATAACTGATTATTGTTAATATTGAGGACTATAGTGTAAATACAAAAAAAAATTATAAATATATTTGAGGGTGTACCATTGGAGTAAGTGACCCTCAAACCTTTATTTTAAAGGTTTGCTCCCCTCAAAATGAAGGTCTTTGTTGGAGATGCTCTAAGACTTGTGTTTGTTTCTCTAAAAGTGATGTTATTCCACAATTGATGTATCTTTTAATTCCTCTTTTACTTTGCAATTTCAAGATGCAGAATCTCTTCAATTATTCATTATCGAAATAATAACTTATGTTAAGGTTATTGATTTATGTTAGTCTTTTTTTTTTTTTTTCCATTGATTTATGTTAGTCTATAACATAAAAGATTGTAAATAAATGTAACTGATTTATTTTTTGTTGCATTTGGTACTTGAAACAGGAACTAGTATCTACCTGAATTGCAAAGCTTACTAAGTCTTAAGTTCATTACAACCATCGACCAAAAGGCTATTTTTACAACATGTCTTCCTCTTCTTAGCTAATTCTCACAAAAGAAATAAAAAGACTAAAAACCATAAGCGTAGATAGAAAGATAAATCCTAAGCTCCATAACAAAAAGAGGCATTTACATCTCCATCAAACCCGCGATTAAAAACCGATAAACCTATACGATTACCACTTCTTAGTTGGTTTCAGCAATCAACGAAGTCACCTCCTTCAAAACATCAATCTTCAGTGACAACAACTGAAATTCCTTACCTTCAACCATCTTCATCTTTTCTTCAATCTTCTTCTTAATCTCCACAGGCACCTTACTCCATTTCCACTTCACAAAACACTCATCCATACCGAGACTCACAATAACCCGAACCAAAAAAGACTTCTCAAACCAATTCGACCACTCCGAATCTCCTCCAAGAATCACCACTTCCTTATCTTCTTCCACCTTCTTCACATCTTTATCTTCTTTCTTATTATTAGTCTTCTTAGATTTCACAGGAGATTCAGCAACAGATCCCCAAATAGACTTAACCAATCCCAAACATTTCTTATCATGATCAGATTCAACACTTTTCTTCTTCCGTTTACCAAAATACTTCTTCTTTAAACCTCTAATCTTGTCACCAAACTGACTCTTACTAACATCAAAGCTTATAGATTTCTTAGCGATATCGAAAAACTTATTCAAATCATCATGAGGACTTGTACCTGTCTCAGCTTTGAAATCAATCATGCTTTGTAACATAGAGATTAATAGAGTATGGTTTAGTTAAACCATACATTAAATCTGTAATTGAACTGGTATGATGTAAACCGGATTCTACTTAGTATATAAGGAGAGTTTTGGTCAATGTAATCACTAAGATGAATAACAGAAAGAATGTTTTATCAAGATTCTGATAAACACAATTTCAAAATTCTGATTATCTCGATTCTTCCATAACAAATTTTCTTCTATCATGGTATCAGAGCGTTGAATTCCAGAAAATTCAACCGATTCTTCCATTGTTTCCGTTTGTTTGAGCTTGATTCTTCGATGTTTCTTCTCCATTGATTCTTCTTTCGATCGATTTCTCCGGTTGTTTCACTGGAAATCGTTGTATCGACAAAATTCTTCTTCAGATCTTCATCATGACTTCAAATTCCGATGGCGATCACACGAAAATTGAATCGTCGCACGGCTCGCGTAGCTTCTTCAGCTCGTCGACCGGTAAATCGCGAGGATTCTCCAGAAAGTTCAACTCCACAGTTGATCACTCAAGGTTACGTTTCTTCGATTGATTCTCCAGATAGTATTCACTCTCCGTTTCATCTTACGCATAGTGATAATCCTGGAATCTCGATTATATCTACTGTTCTTGATGGTACAAATTATGATGATTGGAGTATTGCGTTGAAAACTTCGTTAGATGCGAAAAATAAACTTGCATTCATTGATGGATCCATTCCGCGACCTGCTGAATCTGATCAGATGTTTAGGATCTGGTCACGTTGTAATAGCTTGGTCAAGGCTTGGATTCTGAATGCAGTTTCAAAGCAGATATACAAAAGTATTCTCAGGTTTGATGATGCTTCAATGATTTGGAAGGATTTGTACACTCGGTTTCATATCACAAATATTCCCAGATCTTATCAATTATCTCAGCATATCTGGTCACTACAATAAGGATCGATGGATTTGGCTACATATTACACTACTTTGAAGACTCTTTGGAATGATTTGGATGGAGCTAATTGTGTGAAAATTTGCAAGAATTGTGATTGTTGCAAGGCAATGGGACAGAAAACTGATAATTCTCGTGTGATTAAGTTTCTTGCTGGTTTGAATGATTCTTATTCAGTCATTCGCAGTCAAATAATCATGAAGAAACACATTCCTGAGCTTTCTGAAATATATAACTTGTTGGATCAGGATCACAGTCAGAGAAATCTCACACCAGTTCAGAATGCTGTGTCTTTTAATGTTGCTACTTCAGAATCAACATCAGCTTCTGTGAATGCTACTTACAACCATTCCAAAGGTCCAAAAGTGATTTGTTCTCATTGTGGATATACAGGTCATACAGTTGATAAGTGTTACAAGATTCATGGCTATCCACTGGGTTTCAAACACAAACATAAGAATCAGTCTGACAAGTCTTCTGATCGATAGTCTCTTCCTGCTAAACCAGTCGTTGCTCAGCTTGCTTTGACAGACTCTTCTACTGGTGATTTGTTTACAGGAATGGCTAAGACTCTCACTAAGGATCAGATTCAGGGGGTTCTTGATTATTTTAATTCTCAGTTTCAGGCTAATTCCATTCAAGGTCCTTCTACTTTAGTTGCTTGTACTTCAGGTCCTTCTTCAGGTGCTACTATTACCGCATTGCCTGGTATGGCTTTCTCTTCCTCCACTCTTCATTTTGTTGGAATGTTGAAGGCTACTGGTAATGTTCTATCATCTGAATCATGGATCATTGACAGTGGTGCTACGCATCATGTTTGTCGTGATAAAAATCTTTTCACAAGTTTGAATGAAACTCTTAATAACTCTGTTACTTTACCTACTGGTTTTGGACTTAAAATCACTGGAATAGGTACAGTGAAGTTGAATGAGTTTCTGCTCTTGCATAATGTTCTATACATTCCAGATTTCAGATTGAATCTTCTTAGTATCAGTCAACTAACCAAAGATTTGGGATGCAGAGTGACATTTGATGCAGCTTCTTGTCTTATTCAGGATCCTATCAAGGGCTTGATGATTGGGAAGGGTGAACAGATTTCAAATCTCTATGTCTTGGATGTTAAGACTGTTATCAATGATTTTACTCAGCAGATTTCATATTCTACAAATGTTGTTGTTGATTCTAGCTTATGGCATAATAGGCTAGGTCATCCCTCTGATTATAGAAATGACATTATTTCAGATGTACTTGGTTTTAAACAAAGGAATAAAAAGGCTTTTCATTGTGCTATTTGTCCACTTGCAAAGCAGAAACATCTCTCCTTTCCTTCCAAGAACAACATTTGTGAATCTGCATTTGAATTGCTACATATTGATATCTGGGGACCGTTTGCAACTTCAACAGTAGACGGCTATAAATATTTTCTCACAATCGTTGATGATCACACTAGGGTCACTTGGGTTTATTTGTTGAGGAATAAAGCTGAAGTGTTGCATGTTTTTCCAGATTTTTTAAAGATGATTGAAGTACAGTACAAGGCTGTTGTCAAAGGTGTGAGATCTGATAATGCACCTGAACTAAAGTTTGTGGAGCTGTTTAAACGCAAAGGGATAGTTTCTTATCATTCCTGTCCAGAGACACCAGAGCAGAATTCTGTGGTTGAGCGCAAGCATCAACACATTTTGAATGTTGCTAGGTCCCTCATGTTTCAGTCCAACATACCAACTGAATATTGGGGAGACTCCATTCTCACAGCAGTGTTTCTGATTAACAGGATGCCTACTCAACTTCTCAAGGACATGTCTCCATATGAGGTATTAAATAAAAAGAAGCCTGATTACAGAGACTTACGTGTCTTTGGTTCATTATGTTACAGCTCTACATCAACAAAAGGAAGAACAAAATTTCAACCAAGAGCAAAGCCTTGTGTATTTCTCGGTTATCCTACTGGTTATAAAGGTTACAAACTACTTGATTTGGAGTCTCATTCCATTCATATTTCACGGAATGTAATCTTCCATGAAACCATTTTCCCTTTTGTTAAAGGTGACTCCATTTCTATTTCAGACATTTTTGGCAGCATTGATGAACCTACAGATATGAGTTATTCTGATAGTATTGAACCTGTGGTTGTGAGTGATGAATCTCCTACAGTGCTTCATAGTGTAGATCCTGCGGTTGTGAGTGTTGAATCTCCTGCAGTGAATCCTACACGTGTTGAGTCTATAGTCTTGAGTGGTGAATCTCCTATAGATCTTAACACTACTTCAGACCCTGCTCCTGTAGCTTCAGCTCCCACTAATGTATTACGAAAAGATAAGCGTCCTAGTAAGGCTCCTTCTTATTTGACTGATTACTACTGCAACATGACTTCTTCAGGAGTTACATATCCCATCTCTGATTATATGAGCTATGACAGGCTTTCTGAACCATATAGAGCTTATATCTGTTCTGTCACTAAATATGCTGAACCAAGCTCTTTCTTTCAAGCCAAGAAGTCAGATGATTGGTTACAAGCGATGAATGCAGAGTTGCAGGCCCTAGAGGGTACAGCCACATGGGATGTTGTTTCTTTACCTCAGAACAAGCATTCTATCGGTTGTAAGTGGGTTTACAAGGTGAAACTAAATTCAGATGGAAGCCTGGAGCGCTATAAGGCACGTTTAGTGGCCAAAGGTTACACACAATAAGAAGGAATTGATTTTGTTGACACATTTTCTCCTGTAGCAAAAATGACGACAGTTAAGACATTGTTAGCTGTTGCAGCTGCAAAGAAATGGAGTCTTCATCAATTAGACATCTCCAATGCTTTTTTGAATGGTGATTTGAATGAGGAAATTTACATGAATTTACCTCCTGGATATACACCAAAAGAGGGGGAAACATTGCCTCCTAATGCTGTATGCAAACTAAAGAAGTCCTTATATGGTCTTAAGCAGGCCTCTAGATAGTGGTTTCTCAAATTCAGTTCCACATTAATGTCTTTGGGGTTCAGAAAGTCTCATGCTGATCATACCTTATTTCTTCGAAATGTGAATGGTAAGTATGTGGCTGTTCTAGTATATGTTGATGATATAGTGATTACAACTAACAATGATGAGGAAGTTGCAACACTGAAAGAAGATTTACAGAAAGTTTTTAAACTCAGAGATCTTGGTCCTTTAAAATACTTTCTTGGCCTTGAGATCGCAAGATCGAATGCAGGGATCTCTATTTGTCAAAGGAAATATGCTCTGGACATCTTGGAAGAAGCTGGTTTGTTGGCATGTAAGCCTTCCAGCATTCCTATGGATCCTAGCATTCATCTTGTTTCTGATGGAGATGAACCTCTGGTAGAAGACCCTGCTTCTTACCGTAGACTGGTGGGGAAGTTGATGTATCTGACGATTACTCGACCAGATATCACTTTTGCGGTGAACAAACTTTGTCAGTTCACATCTGAACCAAAAGCATCTCATATGAAGGCTGCATACAAAGTCCTGCACTATCTCAAAGGCACTGTTGGGGAGGGTTTGTTCTATTCTTCTGAATCTAACTTGATCCTTCAGGGTTTTACTGATGCAGACTGGGGAGCAGACCGTGATCACAGACGCTCAACTTCTGGTTATTGCATGTTCCTTGGCAATTCTTTGATCTCCTGGAAATCCAAAAAGCAGCCAGTTGCTTCTCATTCCTCTGCTGAATCGGAATACAGGGCAATGCAGTATGCAGTACGTGAAATTTCTTGGCTGGTGAACTTACTTGCTGAGTTTCAAGCTAAGCAGACCAAGTCAGTGGCTTTCTTTTGTGATTCAGAGGCTGCTATTCATATTGCTAACAATTCCATCTTTCATGAACGCACTAAGCATGTGGAATTGGATTGTCACATTGTCAGGGACAGGATTGTTAGTGGTCTGATCAAAACACTTCATGTCAGCACTGAGCAGCAGTTGGCTGATGTGTTCACAAAACCTCTTTATCCATCCCAGTTCAAGTATCTTCTTGGCAAGATGGCTCTTAAATCAATTTATGTGCCATCTTGAGGGGGAATAATAGAGTATGGTTTAGTTAAACCATACATTAAATCTGTAATTGAACTGGTATGATGTAAACCGGATTCTACAGAGTTTTGGTCAAAAAGAATGTTTTATCAAGATTCTGATAAACACAATTTCAAATTTCTGATTATCTCGATTCTTTCCTAACAAATTTTCTTCTATCAGAGATCTCATCTTCTTCAGTCCATAATCTATGTAAATGCGGCTTTTTGTTATCGTTGTCGCCTGAAACTTTCTTAGCTCTTTTGATGTCCTTTGAGGTGGTTCCTTCACTAGCTCGCTTCTTCCCTGATTTCACCGCCGGTGAATCAGTACCTTCCATCCTCATCTGCTTGGTGAAGACGATTGGCTTATCTGAGTCAGAATCGGAAGTTGGACAGCGGCGGAAGGAGATTTTGGGGTTTTAGTGGAGGGAATTGTGACGGGATCTTTGGGTTCGTCTTCTTCAGAAGAAGAATTGGAGATCTGTTCTTCATCATCTTGTTCAGATGAAATCTCAACTTCGTCGTCGTCGCTTGAAGTAGCGGTTGGTGGATCTTCTAGAGTGTTGGAATCTTTCTTGGCCATTGGGATTTTTCGAATTCTTGGTGTGATGAAGAAGAGAGACCAAAAGACAGAAATCGAGGCTGCGTTTTGGTAAGGAGGCGAAAAAATAGGCGATTAGGGTTTGTGATTTCGTGTCAACTAAGGTAGCTCACCGGCGCCGCCAGGCAGCTCCGGAGGGCAGAGATGAGTACGACGGAAGGATCTACGGATCTCTCTGGCACACAGGAGGTGGGTTCATGGGTTTCGGTGGTTCAAAACAAGCAAACTCTCAAAAAATACGATCTAAACATTTCCACTTCGGAGGGGCAAAGTTCTGTGGAGATTCCGGATGAGGTTTTTGAAAACGTTACACTGCTCTGGGAGGATTTTCTTATAGGGAAGTTCCTAGATACGGCACCACATGTGGCTAAGGTTCATGTCATCGTTAACAAAATTTGGAAACAGGGGTTCGATGCGCAAAAAATTGATGTCTACGAAGTCAATTCCACAACTTTGAGATTCCGGGTTAGCAATCCTTTGATTCGTGCCAGGGTTCTCAAAAGAGGAATGTGGAATATTGCTGAGGTACCAATGGTGGTCACTAAGTGGACTCCTAATGCGGAGAAGGAGCAACAGGAGGAGAAATCTGTTCCACTATGGGTTTTTCTAAAAAATGTTCCGATGAATATGTATTCTTGGGAGGGACTGAGTTTCATTACAAGCGCAGCAGGTCATCCGGTGCGTCTACACCCAGAAACAGCTGCGTGCTCAAGTTTTGATGTTGCAAAAGTTTTTGTCAACGTTGATTTGTCCAAAGAATTGCCAAAAAAGATAAAATTCACAAAGAATGGTAAGGAATTTTGGGTGGATTTTGTCTATCCTTGGTTGCCTCCGAGGTGTTCTATCTGTGAAAAATGGGGACATCTTGATTCAAGATGTGTTGCCAATAAAAAACATTCAGCCGTAGGTTCTGAAATGAAGTGGGTGGAGAAATCTAAAGGTACTAAAGATGCAGTGGTACAGACTAGTACGCTGGAAATAGTTACCACTTCAGACAAAGTAAGTGAAAAGGCACAGGAGACTGACCAGACAAGTTCAGAAAAGAAGGATGATGTAGGAGAGTGGTCACAGGTATCTCCTTCAAAAACAAGTCGCAGCCCGAGTAAAGCAGTAACAGAGACGCCCATTCTTGTTTCAGCATCAAAATTTTCTGTCCTCTGTACTGAAGAGGAGGAGGAGGGTGAACTTCAAGCAACAGAGGAAAAGAATGATGATGATGATGATGAGGATGGTACTAAGGTAGAAGATGGACAAGCTACAGCTCATAGTGAATCTCATGAGACAAAGGCAAATGATGAGGAAATAGTAGGGGGGAAACCACCTGTCACGCGTAACACCTCAAAGAAGATGAAGACTATTTCGGAGACCTCAAACCAGGTAACTAAGGACGTTGTTCCAGTGGTTACGGGAAGGAGGTCCAACCGAAAAGCCCTCTAAATGTCGAGTTTTTCATGGAATGTGCGCGGATTTAATAAAACTACTAAACATTCCGTGGTCCATCATTGGACAAACAATAGTGAGGTGCAATTTGGTTGCTTATTAGAGACGAGAGTCAAGGAAAAGAAGGCAAATCGTATTGTATCTCAAGTATTTAACGGTTGGTCATTTATGGCTAACTACGAGTTTAATAGGCTTGGTCGTATTTGGATTCTCTGGAGATCAACAGTGCGTTTAACTCCAGTTTTCAAGAGTGACCAGCTGATCACGTGTTCAGTGTTAATGGAAGGGGAGGAGGAGGAATTCTTCTGCTCTTTCATTTATGCAAAAAATTTGGCTGAGGAAAGGAGAAGTTTATGGGAAGATCTGAGAAATCATCAAGACTCTCAGATGTTCAGAAACAAACGTTGGATGCTGATGGGTGATTTTAATGAAATATTGGATATTGAAGAACACTCAAACTTTGAACACTCTCCTACTATTCCACAAGGTATGAGAGATTTTCAAGAGGCGGTAAGACATTGTTCACTAATGGATATTGGTTCACATGGTCCATTATTCACTTGGTGTAACAAACGAGATGAGGGGGTGATTTGCAAAAAACTCGATCGGGTACTGATAAATAGTGCTATGCTCAACCATTATTCACAAGCGTACTGTGTATATGAACCAGGGGGCTGCTCTGATCATCTACGGAGTAGAATTCAGATTCAAAGGGAGAAAGTGGCTAAAAGGAAGCCTTTCAAGTTTACAAATTTTATTGCGACAATGCCCGAATTCCTACCTCTACTCCATTCCTATTGGCAAGACACACCTACCCTGTTTCACTCTACCTCAGCAATGTTTCGTTTTTCAAAGAAACTTAAGAATCTGAAACCTCAACTCAGAAACTTAAGTCGAGAAAAACTGGGGAATTTGCAGACAAGAGTAATAGTGGCGTTCAAGGATCTGTGTGAGAAACAAAAGGAGACTCTGTTACGACCTACGGATATAGCATCAAAGGAAGAAACAGAGGCCTATTATAAGTGGAATCACCTGGCAGAATTGGAAGAGAAATTTCTAAAGCAAAGATCGAAACTCCACTGGCTTGATGTTGGCGACCAGAATAACAAAGTTTTTTATAATGCAGTGAAGTTGAGAGAGTCAAAAAATTCCATCAGAGAGATACAACTCCCGGACGGATCAACAGTCTCTAGCCAAGAGGAAATAAAGCAAGAAGCAGAGCGGTTTTTCTCGGAATTCTTAGGCCATGTACCTACAGAGTTCGAAGGACTAACTGTTGATATCCTTGAAGAATTAATACCTTTCAAATGTACAAATGCTCATCAATGTATGCTTGAAAAAGAGGTCACAGCAGAGGAAATACGGCAGGTGCTCTTTGCGATGCCTGCGAACAAAGCCCCGGGACCGGATGGCTTTACTTGTGAATTTTTCAAATCAGCATGGTCAGTTGTCGGTGACGATTTCACAACTGCGATTCAGTCGTTCTTCATTAAAGGTTTCCTCCCTAAAGGAGTAAATACCACTATTCTTGCTCTGATTCCAAAAAAAGAAGATGCCAAGGTAATGAAAGACTATAGACCAATATCTTGTTGCAATGTTCTCTACAAGGTCATATCCAAGATATTGGCTAATCGACTAAAGTCTTTACTACCGGAGATTATCTCGCCAAATCAAACAGCGTTTATCAAGAACCGGCTCTTAATGGAAAATGTGTTGTTAGCTTCAGAGATCGTAAAGGACTATCATAAGGATGACGTTTCTCCTCGTTGTGCCATGAAGATTGACATCTCCAAAGCTTTTGATTCGGTGCAATGGTCTTTTCTGTTGGAGACACTTAAGGCCATGCACTTCCCGGGAAAATTCATACATTGGATTCAATTATGCATTTCAACGGCCACATTCTCCGTACAAGTCAATGGTGAGCTCGCTGGTTTTTTTGGCAGTAAGAGAGGACTAAGACAGGGATGTGCTTTATCACCATACCTATTTGTGATCTGTATGAATGTCTTATCTCAACGTATTAACAAGGCTGCGGTAGAGGGTAAGTTTGGTTACCACCCAAGGTGCCATAACGTACTACTCACACATTTATGTTTTGCAGATGATTTAATGGTTTTTGCTGAAGGGACAAAGAGATCTATAGAAGGAATCATGTCTGTTTTTGATGACTTTGCAAAATGTTCTGGACTGAAAATTAGTATCGAGATGTCTACCTTGTACATGGCAGGAATAGCTCCGGAAACACAAGCAGAAATCCAACAGAGCTTTCCATTTGCAACAGGTCAATTGCCGGTACGCTACTTAGGCCTACCTCTAATGACCAAGGCAATGTCAGCCCAAGACTACCTCCCCTTGACAGAAAAAGTACGAGCCAGAATAAGTTCTTGGACGAGTCGATTTCTCTCCTACGCGGGAAGGCTGCAGTTAATACAATCGGTTTTACTGAGCATCACAAATTTTTGGTCAGCAACTTTTTGCTTACCAGGAGCGTGTATGAAGGAGATCCAACAGTTGTGTGCTGCTTTCCTTTGGAGCGGACCAGATTTAAATACTCACAAAGCTAAAACATCTTGGGAAACTGTTTGTTTACCTCGCAGTGAAGGCGGCTTGGGTCTGCGACCACTCAAGGAAACAAATAAAGTATGTGGGCTGAAGCTAATCTGGAGACTACTTGCTGCTCCAACGTCAATGTGGAGTAAGTGGGTTCATACATACCTAATTCGGAAAAAATCTTTTTGGACAGTGAATGCAAACTCATCACAAGGATCTTGGATGTGGAGGAAAATTCTAAAGCTCCGGGACTTGGCCAAGAATTTCCATCGGGTTGAAATTAAAAGTGGTAGAGGGACATCGTTTTGGTATGATACATGGTCTTCTATGGGAAAGTTATTTGACAACTTTGGTGATCGGGGTTGTATTGATCTTGGAATCTCAAAGGCAGCCACGGTAGAGGAAGTCCTTAGTACTCACAAAGGAAGACGGCGCCGTGTGGAAAATCTCAATAAGGTTGAAGCTGAAATCGAAGAAATAAGATTGAAGAGGAAACCAGAGGAGGATGATGTGAATTTATGGAGATGGAAAACAGGTTTTAAAGGGAAATTCTCTTCAAATGAGACTTGGAAACTCTTGAGAGTAGAGCAACCTATCTGCAGTTGGGCTAAGGGTGTTTGGTTCTCCGAAGCTACACCAAAATATGCCTTCATCACGTGGCTTGCAATGCATGACAGATTAACTACGGGGGTTCGTATGGGGAAGTGGAATGCACAAGTAGACGTCTCGTGTAAACTCTGCGATGAACCGGTAGAAACAAGAAACCATCTTTTCTTCCGGTGCAGCTATTCAAGACAGATTTGGGAGACATTAGCAAAGGGATTACTTCAAAACAGATACACATTGGAGTGGGATCAACTCATGTTGCTCATTTCAAGTAACACGCTCAAACAGAAGGCACGTTTGCTTCTGCGATATGCCTTTCAAATCGCAGTCCACACCTTATGGAGAGAGAGGAACAATCGACGGCATGGAGAAGACCCTATCACAGCATCGATCCTTGGGAAAACCATCGACAAGAACATTCGCAACCGGATCACTCTTCTTCGAAAAACCGGAAACGCAAAGTATGAAGACCTTTTCACATTTTGGCTTTCCACTAAGTTTTAAATTGTAAACTCAATGTCAAAAACCTCAAAAAGGATGCACTTAATGTAACACTGATTTTTTTGGTGAATAAATTTTACATTCATTCAAAAAAAAAAAAAAAAAAAGAAGAGAGAGTTGAGAGAGACGAAGTGGAACAGAGAGAGAGAGAGAGGGATTTTAGGTTTTGTGTGCGGACAAGTCGATGTTTCTTTTTGGGTTTGGGCTTTGATTTCATTTAGGCCCATTACAATGTTATAAGCTCGAATGTGGCAAAATGGGAAAAAATTAATTTTGCCAAAATGTGTGGAAGTGGTGTAACAAAGTTCATACTAGATTTTCTTGTTGTAATTGTTGCTATATAAGATGAAAGGTCTCTTTGTTTTAAAAAAATCCTATCTATTAGAATGTCCACGCTACTTAGGACAAAGATTTTTGGGTAATATATAAAAGATGTGGCAATCCTTAACTCTTGAGCTAGATTTTGGGTTAAGTTAGGCCATATTCCTAATATGGTATCAGAGCCACATTCCTAATATGGGTTAAGTTAGGCCACATTCCTAATACTATCTTTTTTTTTTTTTTTTTTTGTCGTCTAGATTTATTATTAATTGCAAATTATGAGAACTGTTACATAAACGATTCTACAACTGACAATTCCTTCCGACCCTTATTAGATCTACGACAGACTACACTTCTTTCTTCATAATCTTGATGAATACCTTCAATGATCCACGACCTGGCGACAGGTTCTTCTCTGCGTAGAATCCTGGCGAACGGCTATAATTGTACATCGCTAGAGATCTCCTGCACACTTGCCTCTATTAATCTGCAAATTTGTTAATAAATCGCAATATCTAGGACTCGAACCTCAAACCTCTTGGTGTAGAAGCATTAATCAACCATTGGTCAACCAATGGGCCAAGGGGGCTTCCACCATTCCTAATACTATCTATTGGAAGTAATTTAACAAGTCGATTTATAGTTTATTATTTTTACATTTAGAAAGGTTATTTGATTAAGTGGGAAACCTTTGAAGAAATCAAAAAAGTGGAAAAGTTTGAAAGTAGAGAAATTTAGTTTAGTAAATAAAGACCAAAGTGGAAGAGTTAAAAGGTACATAAAACTTAAAAAGAGATTTAAAGTGCAAAACCAAATTCTCAAGTAAAAATTATGAATGAAATACTTGTTATTTGTTTTTTTTTTCTAAGCGGGGCCAAAATCCTCTTAAACAAGGTTCGAACCTTGCTTGCTATCGACACACATTCTTTTTCAAATGACTATATTACAACAACGACTACTAAATCTACCTATATTTGATTATCGTGTTGGTATCTTTTGGTACTGTTATATTTGAACAAAAAAAAAATATTTACAAAAGCTTTTTGAACAGAAAACGGAAAAACAAAGTAACCTAGAGGCTAAGGCTAAACTTGAGTGTGCTCGAACCAAAACTGAATAAAATCTTGCAGCCCGACTCGGTCTTGAAATGAAGCAGGGCAAACTCATGCTTGCGGCTATGAATATAGTAAATATTTGGGCATATCCGTTTACTTTAGAATAAAAGCTCAATGCCGAGTTGGCTTGTATCATAACTGTGAAATCAAAAGGTTGAAAGTAATTAAGTAATTAATAATTTTTTGTCTATACGTAATGCTAGATAATTGTTCTATTATTAAATTTAAAACAAAGTAACTAAATTTTTAAAAGTGATCCGTAAAAAACATTGGTTTTGCTTTCTAATTTTTCATTGTTCCAAGTTTGGTTTCTATTTTGGGGAGAATGAAAACTTTTACTTTGTAGTATTTTTTATATGTCTAAAGAAAAAGTAAAAGAAGAGAAAGAGTCAAAGAAGATGTTAGGAAACATAAATGGCCACCCACAATTCTCTCAACATCGACACCAATCAATCCACAAAAATTAAAAATGTCTTAATTCACTAATCACTCAAAATTCAAAAAAAAATGCAACAAGAAACACTATAAATACACTAAGTATCAAACCAATTCAATCAATCAAAGCTAAAAGAACTTACTCTCACAAACTTCAAATCCTCCTCTATCCCTTTTGAATCATTAATCATGTCGCAACAACAATTCAACGCTGGCCAGAACAGAGGCCAAGCTCAAGTCCGTTTTCCGATCTCAATCTTTCACACATTATATTTACCAACTTCAAACTGTATTATCGAATAAATGTGTTACCAAATCCTAAGTATGTTTGATGTATATATATGGTTTTGATGGATATTGTAGGAGAAAGCTGAGCAATGGACCGAGTCCGCGAAGCAAACCGCACAGTCCGCACGTGATAAGACTGCTGATTTGACACAATCAGCACGTGACAAGGCTGCAGATTTGACACAATCAGCTCGTGACAAGTCCGCTGATGGATCTCATTCCGCTAACAAATCTGCACAACATAACCAGGAACAAGCTGCTGGTTTATTTGGCCAGGTAAATTTATTTACATAACTATATATAATTGTTGAAACTAAAATACAAAATTTGCTAACAAAACTGATATTTATAAACCCTTAAATCTATATACGTAGACCGGTGAATCAGTTAAAAACATGGCTCAAGGTGCTCTTGATGGTGTGAAGAACAGTCTTGGCATGAACGAGAAGAAATGAGAATATGAATACTCATATTTCTCACCTATTTTATTTAAAATATATATGAATAATTTCTTGTTTTTTGAAATTTTGGGTTTCTCCAAATTATGTTTGTAATAAGATTATTTGTTTTGAAAGATTTTGTGATCATGTGATCCGAAATCTGAGATGTAATAAGATGTTGTAACATCACAGCTTTCAATTTTCTATTTTCAGGGAATGAATCAAATTAGCAACACTCTTTTTTTTTTGTTTTTTTAATATCTAGAAGTTCAAACCCGAAGGCCCTACATCTTCTAGAGGCGGGACCCAAACCAAGTTAAATTCATCTCCTTAGGAGAAGAGATCCCTCCTAACGGGCGTCGAACCCAATATCTCCACCTGAGAGATTTACCATTGGGCCAACACAACATTGGTAATTAGCAACACTCTTAATTACTATATTATTAGAACTGACCGTGTAATCCTAGAACTCGAAGTGGGCTAGTCCGAGCCATGAACGAATAACGTGGTCGATAATAAGTCAATGAATTAGTAAATAATTATAGGGAAAATCACATTTTTAACGGGAAAAATGTCATTTAAATCATCAGTTTACCATTTTTGTTGGTTTAAAGCATGAATTGTAGATCTAGTGATTTAAATCCTTAATTTTATGTTGATTTTTATTTTAATCATGAATTCTCGTTGACAAAGCCAATTGAGCCACATCGTTAACTAGCCAAACGGATCAATAAGACGATGTCATCACATTACTGGCATTTCGAAGCCATCGCATATTTTTTCTTCTACACAAACAGGGTTTTCATCTTCTTCTTCAAAAACTATGTGAGGACATCTCCGTTTAGTCAATTAACGATGTGTCTTAATTGGCTTAGTCAACGAGAATTCGTGATTAAGATGAAAATCAACATAAAATTGAGGATTTAAATCACCATGTCCAGAATTCATGCTTTAAACCAACGAAAATGGTAAACTGGTGATTTAATTGACATTTTCCCTCATTTTTAACCCTCAAAATATTACCAGGTAGCATTTTAAACCTCGAAAGAATTCCACTAACACTATAGACCACCAAAATAATTTTACTAACACTTTAAACCTCCAAACTAGCTTTCATGTTTGGACCGCCATAAATTATAATGGAACAATTAATTTATGTTGGTTTAATATAAATTTATTTAATTTAATATGAATTTTAGTTAATTTTATTATTTATTATGATTTTACGGATATTAAGACAAGTAAAAAAAGTAGGTTCCTCCGATACGGAAAATGCTTCGTTTTCTGACTAAATTTTGACATTCTTTGGTTTTTATTATTCTATTTAAGCTTTTCGTGTACCTCATATTCTACATTATTTGATTTCTATTATTATACTATAAACTTTTCTTGTGCTTAAGTCTATAGTTTCAGAGGTTTAATTTCAGGATTTCATGGTTGAACGGTAAGTAAACAAAGAAGGTGAAGTTTTTTTTGTTTTTTTTAGATTTTTATTAATTGTAATAAATAATAAAATTAATTTAAATTTAAATTAAATTAAATAAATATATACTAAACAAATAGAAATTAAATTTTCCATCATTTTTTATGGTGGGACAAATAGAAAATCTAGTTTGGAAGTTTAAAGTGTTAGTAAAAGTATCTTGGTAGTTTTAGTGTTAGTGAAATTATTTCGAGGTTTAAAGTTCTACCCAGTAACACTTTGTTAAAAATGTGTTTTTCCCAATAATTATATATGATTATATGTTTATATGGTGAACTTGCTTAATAATTAAAAATAGGGTGAATGAGGTGATAAAGCAAGTTTAATTACCAAATTATAGAATTGTTGTTGTTCAAAGTTCTTCGTACTACATACCTGAGAATGAAAGGAAATGGTGTTCATAAGCCTACATCTATTTGCTTCGAATTCAACAAAGTACTAAAGGCTAGTTAATAATAATGAAGGCTAACTATGAATCATGATTCGTTGGAAAATGCAAAAATGGGAGTTTAAGACCAAACGACGTCGTTGAAGTGAAGCTAGTCTCTTTTTTTTTGGGGCAAAAAAGTGAAGCTAATCTCATGTAGTACGAAGTTTGTGTTTCGTTGCAGTACACAAAGAGCACCGATCTATTAGTACATACGACAACTAAAGTCAACTATAATTTAAAAAGTCAACTATAGTTTTAAAAATCCTGGAAAAAGAATCTGGAACCCCAAAAAAATACGATTTAGTACAATTCCTTAATCGTACGCAGTAGTACAAGAAAGCATTGTACTGCTTTCAAACTAAAGACACAACCAATGTCTTATAGACAAAACCAATGTCTTATAAATGATGTTTGTGTTTGTCTCGATGGTAATAGAAATGAGAAAGAAGAGCTTTTTTTCCCTGGGTTTGAATAAACATCATTGAGTGCAGCGTTGATGTAAGTTTACTTATTTTATTCCATTGTTGAATGAATTAAAATGATACAGAATACATCAGCGTTGCATTCAATTATGTTTTTCTAATTTTCAGGAACTACAAAAGAAAAAAATCACATAAAAAATCCCTAAAATTATTCGAACTCCAAACTCAAAATTTCTAATATTTTCGACTGCTACAACAAACTTTCACCATACAAAATAATCAAGAAAAACACTCAAAAAGATTGAATGTGTGAGGTTAGTCTCATTAACGGAATTGTGAACAATTTTGTTAAAAAATAGTGACTTGGTTTTCAAATGTATTTTTTTAAAGAATAATGTTTTTTAGCTTTTTATTATATATCAACATGAGACCTCAGGTAACAAGGTAAAAGAGACAGAAAAATAAAAAAATTTAATTTTTTCAAGTTTATAGTTTATAGTAAAGAAGTTTTTTTTTTTTTTGAAAAATATATTTTAAAACAGTGTCACTATTTTAAACGGCAAATGGACATTTCTATTAATGAGATTAATGTCGAGCATTTGGATTTCTATTTGAGTACTTTTTGTTTCTAAGTTATTTTGTATGTTGAAGGTGTATTGTAGGAATCGGAAACATCAACTCTCAAGATTTTTATGAGAATTTTAACTTTATCCATTTTAGAATATAAATTGTGGGTTAGTTTTTATTTTTATTTTATTTTTGGTTAATATCTATTACCAAAAATGGTTTGATGTGTCTGAAACTGTATATAACTAGAAGGTGTACCCGCGCGTTGCGCGGAATTTAATTGTAAACTTTTATTCTTTGAGTATAAAACTATAAATATAATCAATTGAATTTTAAAAGATTTTACTTTAATTCATATGCATTATCTTTCCAAAGTAGTAAAAAGTTTCTCACATTTTTTACTACAATTTTTTTCGTTTTCTTTTATGATTCACTCGTCGTCTCCCGACATCTATTCTCTTTTCTCCTTAGATCGTTTCTATTTTCTCCTTCATATCATTCAATACTCAATTTGTTTTATAAGTTTCATGATCTTTTTATTAAAGTGAACATCAGAAAAGAAATCTGAGGAGATGTTTGTTATAAGATATTTTTTTACCATGTTATGGTGCATCTAAAATTGCTTTATAGAAAACAAATCTCATATATGGACTCATTCCTATTCACAAACATAGAATTTCAACGTGAAATTTTGCAATTTATCTTGACCATTTGGAAAATACAAAAATCTCTTTCTATATATATAATTTAACATATATTATGATTTTAGATAGTATTCTTAATGTTGATTTTTATAAAATGTGACACTTACGAACTCATAAAAATTATTCTAATTTTAAAATACATTTATTTAGAAAAACAAAACAAAATCATTTTTATTTCTAATGAAAAACTCTTCAATCTACCATTACTATATATAGATTTCCAAATAACATTCTCAAATATTATTATTACACAGTTTTATTATTCGATAAGATTATTTTATTTTTATTTGTGATGTTTAGGATAGTTTTATTTCAAATCACCCTTAGTTTGTTTCAATCTATGTGAATTTCCTAAAAACACTGATTAATATTTAGTTTTTCTTCTTTAGGTATTCACTTTTTTTATTTAGAAAACATTTATAATATAGAAAATTTATTAATTTGACTACTTATATATTATAATTATAAATAATAATATGTTCTAAATTATTCTTATTTTTTAATCGGTACTCAAATTTTAAATGTCTATTTTTCAGAAATGAATTGATTTCTATTTTAAGTAAAAATCTTTAAATTTGGTATTTTTAACCCTTATTTCCTTTTCTCTACTAAAGAATGGCAACTCTTAAAAAATAAATTTTGTACCATTAAAATATATGATAAGTTTTTTTTTTTCGTATCTCTAACTATTTTAAAATATTTAGTCATTATATGTTAAAATATAATGATCTAATTTATATATATTCAATATCTATTCAAAAATTTCATATTTCAAGTTGTATATTTATTTTTTTCGTTTTTCATAATATTTCATGTAATTTTTGTCAATTATTATTTTTATTTAATGTGTGAATTAGTTTAGTTTTAATGTTTTTGTTTTAATAAATAAAATATGTGGAGCCCACAAGAAATAAATTATGATGACATGGATGCTGATGTGGACACTTTAGATGGAGAGAAACCCTCCCATTATATATATAGATTCGTGAAATTTTATATAATTTTCTTCTTTTGAGAGAGATCTGAACATTTGTATTAAAAAAAAAAAAAAAAAAAAAACAGAAAATGTTGATAATGTGTGCTCGCTTGCTCAAGTTCATAGATACGTGCAGTGTCCTGAGATTTTTGTACAGGCACGCACTTGCAACGAGCACAAATCATCTTGTTGTAGAAAAAATCTTGAGCAAGGTTCAATTAGGTTCTTTTAAACAATGAGTTTTCTGTGTAATGATTATCTCTTGTTTGAGATCTACAAGGGTTCTCTCGATATACATTGATAATTTAGGGTGATAGTAGCGAAAGGTAGCCATTATGTCTGCGTCAATTTTGTCGTCATTACAAGCAAATGGCAATGTGCATTGAATGCATGTGCATTGAATGCATGTGTTGAGAAGTTGCGCATGTTTTGGCAAGGTTCAGTTTTCACCGTATAAGATTTGTCCAGTCTTAAGGCATGTGTTTTTTTTCACTTGTTTTGATGTGGACATGGTGATTGGAAATAAGTACTAAGGTAAGACATTCAACAAATATAATTTTCTCCCATGTATCTCCTTGAATTCTACTAAGAGTTTTTATTATTTCTGCAGTTAATGGATATGGATGCCCACTTATATCCGCCTACATTCACTA